GCTGGAATTCCATCTGGCCCCCTAGCTTTATTTACGTCTAGATTTCGCAAGGTTCTAAGTACCTCTTTTTGACATATTCGAACTGGTGACATAGAGCAGCCAGGCTGAGGTAAAGTAGGTGGTAGGTTCCCTGCGGTATCCAAATGTGAGCTCTCTGCAAAGAGTGAAGCAATAAGATTCGCCTTCTCTTCCGCAGTATGAGCCAGCGAGCCATTCGGCCTCAGCAGAGGTGGCAAAGATGAGCGACAAAAGTTAGATTCGACCGCTTTGGCCAGAGACCAAAAGGATTGGCTGCCTGCTCGATAAGAGGCAAGCTTGACCCCTATGCGGCACATGGTCGAACTTAGCCCTACGTAACACACTTATGCACTTCTTGGCGGCCTTATTAAAAGCTTTCTTCAAATTCTGAGTACTCGGAGCTTTGCGTAGTCGAGCATCTGCCCAAGCTTGGTACGCGGACAACTACAATCAGCGTAAAACCATGGACGAGCTTGGGGTCCATTACGTACATCAGAGTGTGGTATGTAACACTCCATACCCAAACGCAAAACCTCGACTACAGCATCAGCACAGCTCGACGAGTCTCCTGAAATAAAGAACGCCTGTCAGGGGTATGACGCAAAGTCATGCATGTACGTCAGCTGTGTATTTATGCTCTTAGACTATGGAAAATATCTTTTTCCACCCTCTAAGATTATAGTGGGTAATATCATAATATAAATAGGGTGGCGTGGTTACAGAGCAAGACACTACCTTTTAATTATATTTGTGCAAGACATTTAACAAGATTAAGCTGCTGTGATTTTTAGAGAACTTATGAGACTGTTTTTTTTTGTTATTCTTAATTACACATACTTTCACACTACAAAATTTAATAACATTTTAATCACGAGAACTTACCTTCTTTTTGACTTACTTATAAAAAGATTTGTGTATAATTTGACTACGAACAGTAAAAATTTATTGTTTATCTGATATTACTTTTTTGGTCTAAGAAGATGTCTGTTTTAGAACCTTTTTTGTTAATTTATTATTATTATTATGACCCTGTATTGTCCCAGAGAAGGGCAAAAGCCTCCTTATTTTCTGTTACTTTTGCTCTTTACTCATGATAAAATCAAACCTTTAATAAAATGTTTCATTTCAATCCCGCGCACCTAGTGTAAGTAGCTACAGAGTTCAGTCGGTAAAATAAAGTTCAATGGCTAAGATATTAAGTTTTTTATTCCTCCTGTAAAATCGTGAAAACGCTGTTACGCCGTATTAACAAAGTGCTCTTCAGCGGTATTGCACGCGCATTAACGTACGTAAAGTACGTAGTTAGAAGCTGTAAATAATCTATAGTGTAACGTTTTTGTATCAATATAGTTTTATACCTCGTAAATGGCAAATTTGGAATATCAATAGGAGTCTTATTATACAAGCTTATACTGATGGTTTTGTAGAATTTTGGCCTATCTCAAAATCACCCAATTCATCAGATGGTTTAAAAACAACTAAACACACAAATAACTGCCTCCGTGGCCGAACGGTTACCATGCCGGACTGCCACGCAGAGGTCCCAGGTTCGATTCCCGGGCCGGGAGAAATGTTTGTATGGCCTATATTTATTTCTCTCGTGAGTTTGGGTGTAATTTGTGGTTGTCTATGTGTGTGTTCATGGCGCCCGCGACACAGGGTTTCCCTAGTGCGGGGCTATGTTGAGTGTGTGCGTTATTTAAAAAAAAAACTGCAGATAATCTAAAACGCAAAGCAGACTAACTGAACTATTTTGGTTTAAGCCACTATTTTTAAAAACCAGCTATGAATAACGAACATGATTCACAGCCCCACTTCACCTACTGCGGGGCAACAGGCCCCCTGTAGTTTACGCTATCGAACATGGCCTTGTTGTAACCTGACACAAATTATGCGTTGTCAGTGAGTAGTCGTGCACACAAGTGTTCATTACGACGACCTCGGTGGATGAGGAGGTCCCAGGCCCGATTTCCGGTAGAACCAAATTGGAAAATGAACTTTTCAGATAAAAACAATACCAATCATTTATGCCTCTTCTTCTTCTTGTCGTATCGATGGCATACACAATAAGCTTTCGTTCGCAAGGCATTGTTCTGCACGTTTTTAACGTATTCAATTATAATTAGTATTCAACAGCAATCGCCCTGAGAACAAGTCTGTTACACATCCACGCTTTGTTGCATTTTTATATTAGCATAGAACGGAAGAAAGGAAGGTATTGGGTTCATCCAATGTTTCAAGAAGCAGTGCGTACAAACACATTATAAAAATTGTAAGAAAATCTGAGACATGATGAAAATAAAACGGGCCTTTGTTTCACTAAAGATATCAATAAATCGTTTTCCATAGAAGATTCGCCGGGCATTTGTCCTTCCAAAAGATACTTGTTGTTCGGTGTTCGGTGATAATTTGATAAAAAACGTATGACTACGCGCCGTGTGAAAGACATGCCTTAATACTATGTGCCACTGCACACCGTGCCAGTATAAACTTGTGCGCGTTTTTTGCAGGACAAACACGTGTGAACGGTTCCATATCTAATGTATGCACCACGCGTGGTGAAAGGATTTACCAATCGGCGTAAGTTACTCACCAGACGTAGAAAAGAAATGGTATGTCGTGCGGGGAAGCTCCTTTCGTGCACCCTATTTGTGACATTAATTACTAAATGTGATTTTTTTAGGTACTGTAATAGGGACGTAGTCATGCGATTGCGTTGCGAGAAGCACTTTTCAAATATGAACCAGGATTGCATTCATAAATAAAACTTTATATGTTTATTCAATTTGAAACCTTTCTCCGGAACTCCTATATGTCCATTTGACAACAACCTTCTATTATTTATACAATCCTAAATATAAACTGATCCAGCCTGCTACAGTACCAAGAGACGACATGTTTGTTTACAGCAGTTGCAGTGTCACTCAGAGCTTTAAATCGCAAAGATCTTATGACCACTGCCACTGCGCCCATCACCCTGAGACATAAATTGACAAGTCTTATATGTCTGTAATTTCACCAGCACCCTTACCCTTCAAAACCAGAACGCAGTAATGCTCATATTACCGCTTAGTTACTAACGCTTAGTTAGTACTTCCCTGTAGAAACTCTTTCACAAGGAACTCTACTCTTCGTATTCGTCATTCCACACCTACTTTCATACAGCACAATCAGTGCTTCAATACGATGTGTAAGAATGAATTTTCAATTTAAATTTAGAAATCGGGTATTGTAATAATACACTACCCGATTTCTAGGGCCCTCCGTCAAAGGTGGGCGTGGCCTCTCGTTTGGTCGCCGCTCTTATTAACATCTATAAGTCGCCGTAATTAGGGATCCTACCTCCCTAATTCGTATTACACCTCCCTTTGATAGAGCTAGGATCCCTTGAATTCGGGTAGTGTAATTAACGTTTTAGTGCTCTGAAGAAGTATGGTAGTGTAACGGTTGATTTCCAGAGCCGTAGCGCCTATTTTGCCATAGTATTGTATCCCCAGTTACGACAATCCGTTTATAACAATATCAGGGGTCTTTCAAGCATTTAATATATTCTCAATGCCATTGAAGTGTAATTTTCATTACGAAGCTCGATTTTCCTAGGCTATCAATTAATTTCTCATTTAAATGCCATAACATATTTATTTAACTTTGGTTAAGACTGTATAATCGTTTATAGGGAATGCAGCCGTTTTATAAACTATCAATATGCACGCAATATGAAATATTCATAGACTTTTTGTCAGTTATGTGACGAATAGCTTTGAAATTGTTAATGGAAAAATATATTAAAGCATTAGCGGTTTCAAATATTATAAATGATTTCTAAATGTCTTTTCGCCGTGCGCCCTATTAAAAGAGGAAAGATTTTTTTTCCAGAACATGAACCAAATGGTCTCAAGCATCTGTCGAGTGTGGCGATTATCTCTAATTACCCTTTTTAAACAGGCCTTTTTCACGAATCATATAATAACTAAATAATAAAAAAAACGCACGAGTGGCAGCTGAAAAGTTATCTACTAAAGTACGAAATAAAAGACGATCATAGCAACCTTTTTTCAGTATGAAATTTACAGAAATACGAAATGCGTTTATTTTTGTTAAAAAGGGATATTACTCTGTTAAATAAAGTTGTTGCTCATTTGTAAACATTTTGCTTATTTTCTTCTACCATCCGCCATTTTGTTCATTCAAAGCGAAACGTAATAAACAAAAGAGTGGCACTAATTTAGAGAAAAGAATAAATAACGAAAGCGTTACTTTTGTAGCCTGTATTATTTTTGAATTGAAAATAATTTAAAGAGCTTACTGTCAGCTGCCCATCGTAGCAGCGCGGTATGTATGCGTGGACGCCCGCTCGACGCAAACGTTTGCAAAATCTTGCGGTGCACTCACGTTGCATAGTTCGGGTCGTACCATGCGCCATTTATTATAGAATTAAATAATTCATTTGGTGTTTAAAATATGACATCAAATAGTAGACATGTTGTGAACAAGAATGACCCAAATTCGGAATCGTTGAACATTACATTTTTATTTTATAATCATAATCCCATAGAGTATGGAAATGACGGCTGATAGGGGAGCGTAGAACAAAAATAGATGTTGTGCCGACCCCACCTAGCGCGCGACAAGGACAAAAGAAGAAGAAAAAGTACACCCGTAATCGAGATATCAATCCGCGAAGATCGTATAAAAATATCAATACGTAAATACTAAATTTAACAAAAAAAGTTGCTTAAAATTATATTTTTAACTCATAGTACAACTAAAATAATATGTGACAACCCTACGCTTCGATTGAAGTCTAGGCATTGATTGTCGAACAGGCGATATTTGCCCTACTTGTCTTAATATATAGTTCGTACTAAGGAATATGGACTATATTTGAATCTTCCTGGTAACAGGGAACCTTACGTCACAACATTAGTAGCAAAAGGTTAATTGGATTAATTTTAAAAGCGTATTATTGAACTTAATTTCAGGATACAGCAGGCCAAGAGCGCTACCGTACGATCACGACGGCCTATTACAGAGGAGCTATGGGCTTCATTCTAATGTACGACATCACCAACGAGGAAAGCTTCAACAGCGTGCAGGATTGGTATGAGGATTATTATAGCAATTTCAGAATAGAAAGACCCTGTGTATCCTATAGGACAGCTACCACTAGATTTGGACTTTGTGATGATGAAGGTCACGGGAAATTGTGGCTTGCAGATACACACGACGACCCGTAATCGACCAAAGTAGTGCAGAGAACTGTGTTTCAACAACCGATAGTATTTCGCCATTTTGAATATGCGAACAGAGAACATAATAACAACTCTTCTATAACACATTCGAATATTGTACAATTCTGTATTTCAATCGGATGTGCTTTCTGTCATGATATAGTACTCGTATATGTACCTACGATGAACATAAATAGATTTGTAGAAGCAGTACGATAGATAAATTCTCGAGAAACGCATCGTACCTTTGGTATAATCATGGACCAGTAATTTATATTAAGAGTACTGCCGATCTCCATCTACAGATCGTAACACAGAAAAAGGTCAAAATCCGTCTTATAACTAGATAGCGCTGATCAAAAACCTGAAAGTAGTTTATATAATGTAAATGGCCGTAGATACAGAATTAATTCCTCTTTATCATAAAATAAAACTAGTATTTTAGTCCCACATTATTTGCATCCACTAGATACTGGCAATACCATTAATTGTATTATTTTCCAGGGTCACACAGATAAAAACATATTCGTGGGACAATGCGCAAGTAATCCTAGTCGGAAACAAGTGTGACATGGAAGAAGAACGCGTTGTGAGCGCTGAGCGTGGCAGGCAGCTCGCCGAGCAGCTTGGTGTTGAGTTTTACGAGACCAGCGCTAAGGAGAACATCAATGTTAAGGTATGTCTGAATTTCTTTGATACCAGTTTTCGTTTAGAACAGTATTCACAAAACTTTTCAAATGTATTGCAAAATGCTTGACCAATTACCTGGTCTCAAATGAGACAATTCCTTGTAGTAAGAGTAACAAAACAACAGAATTCACTCTGGGGAATTCACTCAGAACGCTCGGATTTAGAAAAGTACATTTCGGCCGGCGAGTATCAGAAGCGAATTTGTTTGCGTTCCCGAGCATGTTTTAGATCAAATTTATCTCAAGAATTTATGCCAATCAAGCTTTAGGTTAACAATGTTTATATGATACATTCTTCTCCTTGTCTTCACGGGGTGCCATTTCCCACCGAAGGTCGGCTATCGTTATGGCAATTTGGGTCCGTGAAGTTATGGCTTGAAACAGTTACGTGATACTCATGTCGAACTCTACAAGATTTTGAAGCCATGTGGTTTTTCTACAACCACGTCTTTTGCGGTCCTGGATTTTTCTCTGCAGAATGAGTTGCAGTAGAGTATTTATCAGTCCGCGTGGTGTGCCAGAAGTACTGCAGCTTCCTCCTTTTTAATGTTTTCAGGAGCTCCAAGTCGTTGAGCATCCTCCGCAATGAGATTTTTTTAAAGTTATCATTGGTGACTGATCCATCCACGATATTTTCAAAATTCTTCGACAAAGCCACATTTCGATTTTATAACCCATTAAATTACCCGAAATAATATTATATTTCAATGAATTATACTGGTAGTACTTATACAATAAATTCATTATGTTAATTAATCACTGTATCTAATGTTTGTGATACTGCAGGTTTATCATACACAATGAAATAATACCTTTTATTGCTATGTCCCATGAGTGATTATATCCTTTATTATTCCTTAAATTGTATCAAATGTCGTTATATCAAGTGAAAATAGATAATTTATTTGTTGTGATGTCGATCATTACAAACCTCAGCCACCCATCTAAATATACATTACATCATCAGTAATATATGTCTAGACTTCAAATGATCGTCTGAATGCACTTTTATTCCTAGAAATATTCCTCCAACGATTCTCTATTTCGTTAAAGCTAAGAACTCACAGAGCAATTGTTACCCGTGCCTGTCGCGGCTGCGGGACAGCTGTATTATTTCAATACTCACGACACTGCAGGTTTGTGCAGTCATATAGCAGCCACGGGAGATGATCACATGTCGCGCGGTCATTTACGATCGATCGAGAACGTTACTGGCGAACAGACCGCAGAGTAGTGCTACCAAATTTTACATAATATACACATCTACATTCTACAAAAGTCGCGATCCGCAACCGCTAACCGTGAGAGGCGCGAGTGAAACTTGCTTCGTGAGTTCTTAGCTTTACTCTACCTGTTTCAGAAAATGGTTATTATATTTAATTACTCTATTTCAGGCTGTCTTCGAACGGCTGGTGGACATAATCTGCGACAAGATGTCGGAAAGTCTCGACTCTGAGCCAGCCATGCTAGCCGGCGGACCTCGTGGCCAACGGCTGACGGAACAGCCCCAGGGCAACTCGAACCCCAACTGCAACTGTTAAGGGCCAATGACTCTACACTCAACACATTAACGTTTAACGTTCAGTGGATAGTGTTTTATTGCTATTTTGTTCAACTGCTTCACACAATTTAAGTCAAAATACAAAACGGCATTACCAAATTGTAGATGAATCCAGTTCAATTTGGATTTTTACCGCCACCTTTGGCACATTGTCTCATGTGTTCAGATACAAGACAATACTTGTTCATATTTATTACAGAAATTTATAAACACTTCCTACATTCAGGTAACATCTGGAATTTAGAACAAAATTATTAAAAACAGTAAACACGATTATTAATTTGCCGTTCACTCAGAGATAAGAACTGAATAACTATAATGACGTAATTAATGCACGGTGTTTCACAATCACACAAAAACTACAGAATTAATATGAGTTCTAAACTATTAATTTTAAGTAGTTCAATTTAGTATTTACGTTTATTAAATTTAAACACCATTATATTCCGCTTTCGTCTTTTTTGTACTTATAAATATTAAGAGGAATTGCTATGAAAATTTAAACGAAAAAATTACATTGCAATTTTAATTATTTTAATATTTAAAAACGATTTCAAAAATTGTTAAAATTTGTGTAATAAAGAAAATAATATGTATTAGTATTACTAATTATATAGGTGTTAGGTAGCTATATCTATATATATTGCGAGCTGGAGTAGGGATCTGATACTACTAGATGTTAATATTTTTACCATTAAATCAATTTTAAAGAATTCTGTTCTTAATTTGTTACATTAACTTTTCTTTATTTTATATAACTTTAAATTACTTAATATACTAAAGTAAAATTGAAATGTTATGATTTACAACGATAATATCGAATCGTTATATTTTCATAATTGCCACAAATTGGAAATGAAACTATCTAAAACGTATTTGTGTTTTTCAGACAAACCACGTTTCGGGCATTTCATTGGTCCCATGGGCAATGATTATGTATAAGTTTAAAGAGATTAACATTCTTACACTAGCGTCACAGTACATTTATGAAAATGTAATTTATCTTAAGAAAAACAAGTAGAGTTTTTATTAAAAATAGTGGCAGACAACATTAATATGTGGAATAAAAATAAACTAGTTGTTCTTGACAGCCCTCTTCACAAAGTCACGGGCAATGTATACGCTTCTCTAGTATATAATTCCTGGTGATATTCAAAATTTGCCATTTAAGAGGTTTAAAAAACTATAGTGAAACAATTCTGCGTACTTGGATTGGATGACAAAATTTCGTGGTAGTAACCCGTTTAGGTCTGGCAGATATTCTCGATCTAAGATGTTTGAAATAAATATTGTAAATGGTAAATGTATTCAAACGTTTATTTACAAGGAGATTCTTGCTCATTATTTTCAGGGGAATCTGCCTTACGAATGAGCAGTATAGTTAAATGAATATGACGATTTCAAGTCTAATTGCTTACCTATGAAATGATGATGATTTAACTTCGACGTCTGACTGAGATAGTATTGCATCAACCAGCCAAAGGTCAAAGTCAAAAAATCATTGATTCCATAGGTAAAATACATTTTCACTTGATAACATTATTTTTTAAATTACTGCTCACTAACTACGCTAACTTTCCTTAGATGCACGTGCAAAAAACTCTAGGGGTTGTTCTTTTCAAGTGAACTTAAATCCTATGGGACACTGAATTAAATTTGTCAAATTCCAATCAAATTTCCATACATCTTTATCTAACACGTAGTCTTTAATTTTGTAATAAGGCTTTTCAATTAAATTACTTTTAATGTAAATTTTTAACTAAGGAAGTCAGAATCTTAACATATGCTGCGGAATCTCATTGTAAAAACGTATACAGTTCCCCTTAGAAGAATCGTTTACCTTGGATAAACGAAATCGTGGTACCTGAGTTTGAACAGTTACGTCTAATGTTACATACTTAGAATAGTATATTTTCAATGGACTAAAACGAGCCAATATATACCCGAGGTGGTTAGACACTCGAGATTTAGCGAGGATGTCTATTACTCCAAGTCTAATTTGACTTTTCACTTCGATTGCGGGAAAAAATATCCATCGTTTTCGCTCTACAACAAAATTACGAACCAAAACTCTGAAGTGTTGGCGGTATTTTTTTTTCAACCAGACACAGATACAACAAACGCACTAAAGCGGGAAAATAATATGGAGCCACCGTCTATGCGGAAAAGATACGGAACTTAAACCGAGCGTACTACCGGCTGTTTGAGTTTGTTCACTTGAAATAAATTAACTGCTTTTTACTCCCTAGGGATTAAATGATGCACTTTACTCCCGCTACGTAAGGCTATATTGACGTACTTTGGGAGCATGAGATGTAAAAAAATGTTAACATATTCCAATTACGATACATACGATTTGCAAAATATTTTAAAACCATAATTTCTTTTTTTATTAAACCCTGATCGTAAGAAAGAGCCCGAATTGTTGGTTTGTTTAAAAAAAAATTAAATGTACATTTACAACAGTACATTGTTGTAATTTAAATTATTTTGCGCTTGATTCCATATACGAAACAGACACGTCAATGTATTTAGAGAAGTTTTATAGTGATAACCTTTAGAATTTTCGTAACAAAAATACGGAACGCAAAAATATTGTTTTAATCCTTAATTAGAAATAAATTTGTAATTTTCTTTTACCGTAATATTGCTATAATTTTAGACTAATGAGTGTTATCTTCTAGACTTCGTTGCTTCATGAACTAAATGTAGCAAAATATTTAATCAGTGTTAAATTATATTAAAAAAAAACTTTGTTAAATTTGGCGTGGTTATAATAATCTCGAAATTGTTATTAAATATTGATGTTACTAGTATGTCCACTGTCCTTCTAATAAAATGTATTGGATGCTTCACGTTCTTGGCCTGCAAAAGTTAAGGCTCGTATTCACAGTACCGTACTCAAATATGACACAGCATTCGTGAGTTTTCCTTTAGTTATGATTCAATATCCTTAAAAGTGTCAAATCTAAATCGATAGTTAAAAGGTAAAAGGGGCTTAACGCCACTTAAGTTATGCTTAGAGAGTAAATTTTGTGGAAATAATTATAATATTAGACGACCTCTTTTACTTTTTAACCGTTAAAATAATTAACTATAGACGGATTTTGTATTACAGATAATAAACTGAAGTTTAGTGGCTTGTTAGTTTTTTATAAAACGATAAAATAAAAAACACAACAATCCGATGACTCACTAACCGATGTGGGGCGTACCATAACGCAAAAAAAAAATGGCGGCGTGCCCCACCTAAATCGCTAAACAATTGTTTGGTCTGTGCGCAGAACCGATAACCGATTTACCAGAAGCATTAGATGAACGCATGATATAGTCAATGTAACCAAAGAAAATTTGGTTGCAAATAGTCCAAGATCGAAACAAATGGTGTACAAATGAAAAAGTCTACTGGAAGTGACTAGAGGTTGAAGAAGTTTTTAATTAATAAATATCTAAAAACTTGAAAAGATTGACTTCACTAGCTCACTCAATAGGTTACTCGTATGAAAATAAATAGTATTTTCTAATATAATAATAATAATAATAATAATAATAACTTTTTATTTCGAGTAACAATAGACTCACTTGTTAGTACATACATGTGAACTTAATCTAAAGTTAGTAAAACTTAAAATTAAAAATTAAAATTGAATTTAAATTAAAATGAAATTAAAATTGAATTTAAATGAAAATTGAAGTTAAATTAAAATTGAAAATAAATTAAAATTGAAATAAAATTAATATTGAAATAAAATTAAAATTGAACTAAGGAATTTGCAGAGATTAATTTTGAAAATCAAGAATTTGATAATAGAAAAGATAGAAGTATGTAGAAATTTTAATACGGAACGGAATGAAAGCGAATTTTTATAATGAACGGCAGCTGCAAGAATTTCCGAGACTAAGCGAGAATTCTCCGTAAGATGCTCGACCTTTCAACTTTGTATGTTACACAATGGACACAAAGATCCTTATGCAATGGTTACAATAGTTCGCTTCCATTTCTTTCCGCTGTAATGTTAATTGAGCCTAAATGTAAATGAAATCTTATTTATCAGATTGCTTTTATAAATCTTTAACGTTTCTTTTTCAAAGTGACATATTTGTCGCCTTACTTTCTCAAACTCGTAATGAAAAAAATGGATTGTATATACAAATTTTCCAATTTGATTTCACGTCACATTTCCTTCATATTTACCATTGACTTACAATTATATGGACGTCGGGTCCGCGCTAAAAAGTATCCGAACTTATAGGGCGTTAAAATCGTATACAGAGCGTCATTCACGCTTTAGTCTTCGTTTGTTCGACTGACAGCGAAGCAAGCAAAATTAGACAGTACTGCGATGACATTACAATTTAAACTCAACGTTTTAGCTTTTTCATATTCCTTTACATGTCACTACGTTTAAATAGGTTGACTTGGGACATTTTTTTCGTGGTTTTTGTATTAGACCCATCGTCCATTTATTTGTAAGTCTTAAGTTTATTTGTAAATGATATTTACACACTAGCTTTTACCTATTCTTAAAGTAATACATCCAAATTAAAACCCTTGATAATAAATTTAAAATAAATAGAAAGTTTTTAATCTCCTGAATAATCACTCTTTATAAGATACAAGTTTGAGAAAGTAAGGCATCGATTAGCAGCAGTCAGTTTATTATCTCTAATTGAAAATACCGGCTTACAAACGTTAATGCACGTGTCAATATATTAACTAACATTATCACTTTAACAATCAATTTGAAGTAAATTCTGTAATACGAACCTAAATATTCGAATTAAATACAAATATTTTCTATAACGCTAGTATTTGTAAATACGTTTACCAGTGTATAAAATAAACAACTGTATAGTATTATATTTACGTACTTATAAATCTGTTTGTATTCTTGTTACCTAATTATGCTACGTTAATATCTAACTATAGGGGTTTATTTAATCGCAAATGTTAGGGTAAGTGACATCGATTGGATTCTGTTTTAATCAAACGGCTTTGTCTTACATCAAAAATACTTATGGTTTATTCTATAGTGTATTCGTTTGTGTAATGGCCTTTTTGATCTGTATGTATATGTAACCCATATCCTAGTTAAAATAAAAAAACTTTTAAACATTTAATGATAAGTTCACAAATCCTTACTATTTTTGATGTAAGCAAGCAACTGCGTAAATGCATTAGGGTGATCGCAGACGACGGGCAGTTTGTTATTATGATAATTGTTTCCTGGCTCGGTCTTTATCAATTTGTTGATTCGATATTGCATGTTTTCAATGCGTGGCCCCAATATTATATCGGGCACATTTTTAGATTAGAGTACCTACTTAAATATTTATTTATTATTCTGTCATCTGCGATTGCTTAGTATGTTTACACGTTCGACTTATACTAGATTATATGTAGATGACATAGACAATACGATTAGTATCAACATTTCTGTTGAAAC